ACCAGAACTGCATAAAAGACAGACAGAAAAAAAGGCTGCATAGAAACAATACTGTATTTCACCCTCTCCTTTTGTAGTCTTAAAAGGGTTTTAGAGCTTTCATTCAATCTCGTCATTTCAGGCTTCAAATCAAAACAAACAGAAAAAATCACACGAGGTGAGCATCCGATTTTACTTTGTGTTTTAACTTTTCCAGGCAGTAACTATGGTTGTATGTCCAGGGTCAGCAGAAATGACTGCAGCATTTGGGAATACAGCCCTAGTGCATTTTCTGTAGCTGTGTCATGCAAAACCACTGCAGATCAGGTGACACCTGAGCATGGCACATCATCCTCAGCAGAATGCATTTTGCTGCAGTGAAAAAAGGCCATTTCCAGCCAGGCCAAAGAAAAACCAACCCTGAAACAGTTAACTTTTGGTATTTGACCTCAAAATATCTCATCTGAGGACAAAACTGGTTTGTTTGCTGTTTGTTGGTTTTTTCTTTTCTTTTTTTTTTGAAACCTATCTTCATAAATCTTTAAAAATTACTCTCTCTCTCTCTCGAGTACAAAAGCTTAGTCAAAACTTTGTGATATGAACAAGGGGAAATAAGCAGGAGTCGTTCTGGTTTTGAAGGAATGGCAACATTCACTGCAACCAGGAAGGCATCCACGGGGACAGCTGGAACTGACGGTGTGCAGCTCTGCCAATGAACCTCACGACCAGGATTCAACAGCTTATAGGCACATCACCCTTGGCAATGTGATGTGTCACCCTTAATCCTCCAGCTTTCCACACCAGGTACTGAATATTATTCTATTTACATTCAAAAATATCATCTTTGTCTCTTCAGTACGTAGTGGGAACGTGAGTCAGTAGGAAGCCTTCTAACACAGGTGGAGGACAGCTTTGTTGATCTCTGGGTTTGTCCAGTCGTTCCGGATGTCATCCAGGTGGTTATCAAAATCCACGAGTGTTTCATAGGACTTGCTGTCCAAGAGAGACGCAGCAATTCTCTGAGCTTCACTCCAATCTTCACAAAAATCACTAGGAAACCAGATCACCACTAATTAGTCACGATCACAAAGGAAACCTCCTTCACCTCCTCCACTAAGGGCCATTCCTCCCCACCCCTCAAAGGAACCAGCTCTGATGTTTACTCACACATGTGGGTCTTTGCACCTCCACTTGTTCTCGTGAAGCTCGTACACGTGAATGGCAGGTTCCAAGCACTCCATTGTGAACTTGGTGTTATCAACCTGGTGTGCAAGAGAAAAACACCACCTCAGCCTTCTCCAAATCCCACGTAAAGAGGTGAAATTGAAAAAGAAATTACTGACAGGACACCTGATACCAATTCATCCACCGATCTGCCTTCACACGAGACGACTTTTCCATGTTTAAGCCACCAGCACTCCTGGTGGCTCCATTTGTTTCATATATGATCTTAAAGGTCCCTTCCAACCCAAACCATTCTGTGATTCTACGTGAGACAAGAACTGAAGTCAGGAAAGGAGCCCATCGTGCTAAATGCACTGCCTTTGTTCAAACCTCCCACAGGGAAGGTCCTCACTTCCCCTGAGACAACAGAGAGCTAACCACAGGCAGTTCCTAGGAACCACACTGGCTACAAGTCACTGCACCTGGGGAAAGGGCAAATTGGTTGCCTCACTATTAAAGATCCAGAGAATGGCACGTAGCCTGGTGTCATGGCCATAGGATGAACGATGCAGAAAGAGGAAAGATGAAGTATTTACCATGATGAGTGCTGTATCGTTAAAGCCCTCTGCAATTCGGGAAGCCACCTTCTCAGCAACCTGGGTTGGACTGCAGCAGAAGGTAAAAACAATGGTGTTATTTGAGCTGTGACTCTTCGCCTTAAAACAACAGGAAATGTGCTTCAAGGGCTGTGAAAATTACAGAGCTTGCTTACAAACCAGAAGGAGGCACCACCTTGCTGTTACACTTGACTGAAAACAGCAAGCCAGGAAAGCCCCACCTTCTCCCTTCAGCACACGGTCTGTGCCCAGGCAGTGCATTTCTGAGTAGCAGATTGCATGCACAGCCAAGGCCTTGGGGTCTTCTACCTCCTTCTGCCAGACCAAGAACCCAGACAGGCCTTTTACAGAGAAACTCCACCTGAGTGCTCCCCATTCTGAGCTCATTCACTGCCCAGCTGCTCCACAGAACCAGATTTCTTCTAAAGGACAACCTTTACTGCCTTTCAAAGCTTGCAATCTCTATGCTGTGCCAGAGATGAAGTCTTGGGGTTGGAAGAAACAAACCTACGACAGTCTTTCAAACCACAATTGGAACAGACAAGCTACATCTTCTTTAAAATACCTTCAGCAGAGCTGTTTCCCTCATAAGGAAAAGGCAACGCCTGCATCCCTGCTAGGGAGCCAAGCAATCACAAGTACTACTCACAGATATACTTGAGACAGAAAGATAAACACGAGCAAAGTAACTGGAACACAGCATGATCCTTTAAACAAGCATGGTATAACCTCAATAGTCTTGATACTGGATTTGCCTAATGTATGTAAGGAGAAATATGTGATATACATACACATCAGTGGCCACTTGACTGTTAATTTCATAATTTTTAAGGGGGGAGGAGGGGAAAAGACCATTCCTGGGGAAAACAAAAAGAAAAAAGGATCTCTGCTTGACTGACATCATTCTACATTTCAAGAGGGACCCTCTGCCATGTCAGAATTTCCTTCCATAGAACTCAGTGACAATTAAGCAGTTTTATTAGCAAGAGTTAGGTCACTTCTAAAAGACTTTCCAACAGCTATTTAGAGTCACTTGAGCTTGCAAGATATTTACAGCACAAGCAAACAAGCCTGCAAATTTTGGCTATATCCCTGACAACTGTAATTAAACTGGCTGGCAGCCATTCAAATACTGGCCTTTTATAGCATCCCCTACAGAAGAGTGATTCTGGAAAGCCTGAGGTTTCTGCACCTGAACAAAGGCCGCAGCCACCAGCAGCACAAAGAAAGCAGATGACAGTTGTCAAAGTTAATCAACGCGCACGGTTAACGAGGATGATTTCTGCTGGCAGAGTGCAAAGTACAAGAGAAAAGAGCAAACAGAAGGAAAAAACTGCACCAACACACCTGGCATCTTTCACGCGTTCGTTCGCCTGGTAATATCCAGCTATCACGTAGCTGTTCTCTTTGCACCAAGAGTCAATCTGAAAAAGTAATTGGAACAATTAAGCTTAAGGGTGGGGGGGAGGGGGGAAGATGAGAAGGAAATCCTGTATCTGGCTGTGAATAAAAGAAGTGAAGCGTTGCAGTGCCTCTGCCATTGCTTCAGAACTTGTATTGGTGTGCACACAGGCACAGGCACATCTGAAGTTCACCTACCAGGGCTTTTCCTTAGAACTGAGGATACTGAGGCTGGAGAACACAGAAACAGGGTAACATGTGAAACAGAGAAAGCAGCTGGGATTTTCCTTTGCTGTCCTTAGAGAGCGTGCATCAAAAAAAAAACCAAAACCCCAAACCTCAACAGCTGTATTAAAATGGATTCCAAAATCGTATCTGATGCTGACCCTCTAAGTCAAATCAATCTCATTTCTAGCAATAATTACAGTATCAGACTGCATCAACAAAAAAAGCCACGTGAATAATCCCTCCTCTACAAGGGATGACATGGATTTACACAGTAAAATCAAGGCTGTGCTGCAGCTGAGGGTTAACTGCTGTTTCAATCGTGAACCCATTCTGAGGGTTTAGAGTGATGGTTTTAATTGGTGAAAGCTTGGCATTAAAGCCAGAAGCCCAGACACAAAAATGTCATAACTAACAACAGTCATAATAATAATTTATTGTTTTAAAACTAAAGGCCCCAGCCCTACATTAGCTTTTGCTGCCTTCGAAATAAGGCTTTTTGAGTTCTCAGTTCCCTCTGAGGGATAAAACCCCAAACCAAACCAAAGCAACCCCCCAAAACAGCCCTCCTGGACTTCCAGATGTGTTTCCACCTGCAATTTCCAACCAATCTCAACCCCAGGTGTTTAATACAAGCTACTTTTGCTGATTCTTTGTACCCAGACTGCTGTAAAGCAGCACTTGCAATTGCAGAAGCTCCAAGTCTGCAGGCAGGTATACCCTGAGTTCTGCTGTGCTCAGATCAGATCTGGAGCCTGCTCCTTCCATCAGTGTTAGAGGATAACTCGGGTCAGATACGAGCAGAGCAAACTTAGGGATCTGGTTCTGCATCAGCAGTGCACAGACTTGACCAAACAACAGCAGCAACTGAGCTGGAAGAGAACCAGGTCCCACCAAACCTGCCACAGCTCCTCGGTCCTATTGGGACACAGGCAACTTTAGTTACAAGCACTGACTTTCAGCTATGCTAACCTCACTGGTTTATTCAGCAATCATGTGTTATGTTGCACAGGACGGGCAAGAGAGCTCTCCTCCTTAGCATTACAGGGATAAAAGCTCACTTATAGCTGCCCTGCCAGCGTTTATTGACACCTTTGCCCTCGTTTAACTAAAGAAGGGGAGCAAAAGGCCACGGGCTCTTTTCCAATGATGTGTTTCAAGCACCATAAGAGTCATCAAATGCGACTGCAAACTGTTTTATTAAGTCCTAATTAACGTGGGAAATATCAGGGGGTTCCCCAGCTTTGCCTTTTTGTATCAAAAACAACGAGCAAACACTTAAGGCCACGCCATTTCTTAGGTTCCATAACGATTCCACATGCTGGTTCCTGCAGATGTAGCCATATATTCCAGACTTTGCAAGAAACAGGATTTGTTTTCTAATAACCTGATCCTACAGCAAGATCTACAGCAGAATATTTCACTGAAGGCCTAAAGCTTTGTATGGGAACTGTTGAAGCCTGAACCACTGATTGAGCACCTGGGGAAAGAACCCACTCAGCACAGGTGAAGGCAATTCATGTGTGGGACCAGGAGGGGTGGATCCTGGCTGCACCTCTCTTAGACCTCATTTAAGGGCTGACAGCCCCTAGAAAAGGGTCTTTTCCTGGAGGTCCCTGCTTGGTGAAGCTTTCCTCTGTGAACTTGGAATCTTCTGGTACAGGTGAGCAATCTTCTCCTCTTCCTTTATAGTACCTTCGCTGGTTCTTTCTGTCACCATACCTCTGGTGGAATGCCTTTCCCACTGTACTGATTGCCCAACTGCTACAAGCCTGTAGAAGTTCACTGCCCCAAATCCTGTAGAAAGAATTGATTTAAAGACAAACCCTCTACAGATTTCAAGCATACCATGTATCTTATCCAGTACCTCATTAGAAACTAGCAATTATTTGTTCTTCCAGGACAAACAAACTTTTCTGGCAAAGGTGATCCCTACATCAGAGCATTTATAAGTAGAATTATTGCATTTTCCCAGAAATAAGAGAGAAAATAATAAGTGGAGACAGAGAGAAAACGACTACACCAGCAGCATATGCTCTTTAGCTACCCTTGCGTTGTTACACTGGTGTAAATCCATTTGAGGCTGCCAGGTTTGTGTGCTCCACAGCCATGTGGCAAACCAGCATGGCCAGGACTCAGACCATGCCTGCATTCCAGTGTCTCAAGGCTGTATTTAGTCAAATCCAAAGACATCTTACCATTAACGCTTCCTTGCCATAACTGCATTTGAAGAAAGCAGTAATTTGTTTACAAATAAGTACCTTTTGATGAAGCAATCTGTTAAACTGAGGGAACTGCTCAGGTTAGGAAGTCTATGTGAATCAAAACCTCGTTATACTTACTGGTATCAGTGAGGTGTGAGTTTTCTACAGCTAATAACAGGTCTGAAAATGGGTAAGAAAGCCTGCAGCTTAAATCATGCATGCACCTCAGCTGTGTGGTGATGATGCCTACAGCAGAACAGTATTGTTTCCCTGCTTCCAGTTTCACGGGGCACTGGCCCACCACAAATCCCCATTCAGATGAAATCCAAGCCCACTTCATTCCCTTTGGCCCCTGCTGTTGACAAAACAACTGTCCTAAAGTGCCAAGTGGAAAGGAGCAGTGATCCAGGACAGCTCCTGGTCTTCATGACTCGTAGGCTGAGGCTGAAAACTGAAACATGGGAAGTGCTGATGTTGATGATGTGGTGGAAGAGCTGTGCTGGGGAAGTTTGGGTTAGATATCATGGATAATTCCTTCTCAGTAAGAGCAGTGAGGCACTGGCACAGGGGAATGGTGGGGTCACTGTCCCTGGAGGTGTTCCAGAACAGTGGAGATGTGGCACTGAGGGACGCAGTGGGCACTGTGGGATGGCTTAGGGTGGACTTGGCAATCTTGATTATCTTTTAAGCTTAATGATTCCATGATTCTATGAGGGACTGCAGCAGCAGGCAAGCTGTGGGGTAGTACTGTAAGACTGCGGCTGCACGTGGGTGAACTTGCCATAGCTTTGCCCAGGGGAGGTAAGAGATGAAGAGTGAGCTTGTGACACACAGGATGAGATTTTACCATGTGTGCAGCATGAAGAGACTTCATTTTCTTTTCCTGTTTAGACAAACTGCTGCCATTAGAAGGAAGTTGATAAAAATGAATTAAAACAGGTACATGTGCACAAGTATCACGTTCTGACTTCAATGTAAGGTAGGTGATGCTGCTTCAAGGTAAGGAAAGAAAAACCCTTTCTGCTGTGCAATACGGCCCTTCAGGCTGGATTTCTCCCAGCATGACACCACACTAAAACCAGCAGATTCCCCACACAGACACAACTACCCAACACCGTGCACAGAGAAGCCTTGCAGATGTAAGATCACAGCGTGCAGTTCTCGGGACTCTCTCCACTCCACAAGCTCTCTCCCACACTTAGCTATGAGCAGCATAGGCCTGGCTGCACTCCACCCCCACCGTTCTCCCTCCCAGCCTGAAATCTCTTCCCGGCCCCCCAGCCGAGGCCGTACCAACGTGAGGGCCACCTCCAGCATCGGCGCCAGCGCCAGCGTGCCGTGGAACAGCGGGATGCAGTCGACGAATAGCGAAGGCGGCCCGGCCTGCTCTCGGCCCCGGCTCCCCGGCGGTCTCTCGGCCACCAGCAGCCCGTTCACGGCGCAGTGCGGGTACTTGGCGCCGTGCAGCACCATCTTGCAGTAAGCCTGCGTGGTCAGCTTCATCCCGACGGTCCCGCGAAGCGCAACCGCTCCTCGCAACCCGCCGCCGTCCCTCAGACCGCCGCCTGCCGTAAAGCGCGCCCGCCGCTGTCCCTCAGACCGCCGCCTGCCGTAAAGCGCGCCCGCCGCGCTGTCGTAAAACCCGAGAGACGGTCCTCCCGCATCCCATCAGCCACCGCAGCGGAGGGAGAGTACACCCCCCAGCGCCGCTCTCGTTCTCCTGTGCCGAGTTCCGGCGTGCGCTGCGCTTCCGGCCGGCGGCTCCTTCCGGTGGAAGCCCGGCGTAGAGGACGGTCGGCAGGTCGTCGGGCTGGGAGGCCGCGGGAAGCCGGGGGAGGGCCTGGGGGACGGCGGGAGGGCCTGGGGGACGGCGGGGACGCTCGGGGTACGTGGGGCACCGTTCGTCGCCGCCTCTGTGTCGGCCCCGTCCCGGCGACCACGCGCTGAGGGCCGCCCGCCGCTTCTCGAAGGGGTCTCATCGGTGTTGCCGTGTGACGTCATATCGGCGATATGACGCCATGTCACGCGGTGTCCCCGCCGCACTGGGGGGGGTTGAGCAACAGCTCAAAGGCAGAGGTACACTTCTGCTGCGGGGGTGTGTTGGGTTTTATGCTGAAAACCGGGAGAAATCCGCAGCCTGGAACAGGGGACGTTCTTAGAAACCGTTATTGAGCGCCTGCTGCCCGGTGCTGGAGCTCCACTGCTCTGTGAGGTGCTTCCAGGCCCGGCATGGGGCTCCCTGCCACCAGCACTGGGCTGCTGAGGGCATCTTGCATGGCTGAGCCAAGCACGATGCTGGATGCTGCTGGAAAATGGGATGCATTGCACAGTTTGCTGGTGTGATGCTACTGTAAAGCTTGGAGCAGTTTGGTCTGTCCTTCAGAGTAGATGCAGGAAGCCCAAAGGCAATAACACTGAGGGATATTATTTCAGTTTAATGTATTTACTGTCTTCAGCTGACAATGATTTATTTACCTGTTGTTGTTCTGACCTGGCAGGATGTTGGCTTCAAGAGCATTCAGCCTCATTGGAAGAAGAGCCCTTTCCACCTCCATCTGTGTGAGGGCGCATGGGCATGGTAGGTGGCACTGTTTTGGTTTTAGTGGGGACAATAAAAGTGGTGTTTGAGAGGAGGGATACAGAATGCAACTATTAGGATCCTTGAAGGTGAGGAAGAAAGCTTTCTCCCAGCTACAGGCTGGTTCCCAATAGCAAGGGAAGCAAGTGGTTAATTATGTTGTTAGATGTATTAGTGATGTATCCCTGTACAGCTATAGGAGACAACACAAAAACTTGTCCAAAAGGCTTGTATAAAGCACAGAGTAGCTCAGTAATTCTGACTCTGTGATGTTATTTGCTGGAGACAGCTCTTTGGCATTACATGTTCTTGCAGAAATAGCTATTTTGAATGCTCTTCCTGTGCCATTTCCTGTGTGCCTGCTGCAGCTCGTGTGTGGGTAAGGTAGGATGCAGGACAGTGGGTTGGCAGGGTTGGTTTCTCAGCCTGGCAGCAGAGGCAGTGCTTGGGCAGCACCTTTGCCAGCAGATGGCATTGCAGAGGTGGCATTGGGGTTAACTGATGGAGAGCAGAAGGCCTGGACTGGGATGGAAAAGTGTAGAAGAATTCTTTGTATTGAGAAGGGAATCGATATGACAGCTAGAAACAGAGCTGGCTTGGGGATTAACAGTTTAAAGCCATTTTGCATATTACCTTTTGACTAGATTCATAGCTACTTGATTCTTCTAAAAATTGCACTCATTTCAAGTAGGTTCTCTCTTGTCTTTCTCAGTGATGAAGGCTTGGGCCAGAAGTCTTCCCCCCCTCCCCCCCCCCCCCCAAGTTTACTTAACTGCTGTTGTGCTTTAACTGCGCTGTTGGCCTTTTGTTTGTATTGTAACCAGTGAGAGATGTTTGTGCAGGAGTCAGAAGTTTGATTCTTGTCTTTTCTGTGCCCAAACACAGCTGGTGTTGTCAAAGCAGAGGATTTCAGCCATCCAGCATACGTTGATCGCCGTGATGTTCCCCTGCCAGAAGCTGCCTTTGTGAAGGAGCTCTCTGCTCAGCAGAAGGCTCTGAAAGAAAAGGAAAAGGCATCTTGGACCGCTTTGTCTGTTGATGAGAAAGTTGAATGTAAGCCTCTGAATAACCTTACAGCTAGCAATAATGAGACCTGATCTGCTGTGTGTTCATTACCAATGACTTACTAGAAAGGCATTCAAAGAAGGTGGCTCTAAGCTGCTGCTAAGCCCTGCTTTACTGAGCGGCTCTGTGGGCAGAGACTTGAGCCATGAGAAGACTCTGTTAATTATGATGGAGCACAAGTGGAGATCAGTGGTTTGTGTGGCTTGTGTTCTTACTGCTGTTGCAGGGAGCTAGATGTGCCTGTTGGTCTCTGTTATGTGCCTGAGGTCATGCAGTGCATCTGACAGAAGGTATTTAGCTAACTGTGGGTCAGGCTTAGCAAAGAGCCTGTCTTCTCTGAGAAAAGCCAGTTGTTATAACCAGTATTCCAAATTAGAATCAACAGTATCTAATTAGTCAAGCTGATTGTCCCACAGCTATTCCTGCTGTGGGAGGGCAAGGTAGGATTTCTTATCCATTCTCTCTTCTGTTGAGAGGTGTTCTAGTTGCTCTAGTAAACTACACTGAAGGCTTGGAGGGATAGATTGCTATCTTTCAAGTCCTACCAATGAAACTGGAAGGGTGAAAAACTGGGCCCTATATATTTTACTGTTATTGACCTTGGCATCCCCAAATTTCAGCTGCTTAAAGTGCCAAGCCTTGCAGATAAAACTGTCATCTTTCTAACAGCCGTTGTGTTGTGCAAGTGAGAGCCTGTTTGATGGGATCTGTGAAGAGCACGGCGTCCACCAGTGTCGTGGCAGGAAGATGTAAAGCCCTCTCAAATATTCATAGGCACTTTCCAAATCAAATGCTGCTTTGAGCTTCATGAGATGGAGGTCTTGTTGGCAGAGCTGTGAGAAGCCTTTTAAATATAAGCATTCCCATTGAAACCCTTTGTGTTAAGGAGCTTTATGGTAAATAGTGATACTAGGAATTGAATGGAGGGAAGGAAAGCTCCATTACTTCTATTATGCAGTCTTTGCACAAGTTTACACTCACATATAAAATAGAGAGTAATGTTTCTTCATGAGGGGAAGGTGAAATGCAGCTCATTTCCTTTGGCACAAATGCATTGATCTTGGCATGGAGGGTGTCAGGTAATTTGGAAGATATTTTAACATCTCTTCCATACAGCTTGAAGCTTTGGTTTGCCTCCAGCAAGTGATGTGTTGCCTGCGAGCCGCAGCAAAAGCAAAAAGAGATTATTTGATGCTTAATGTTTTCTTTCCCCAGTGTACCGTATCAAATTCAATGAGAGCTATGCAGAAATGAACAAAGGAACAAATGAGTGGAAGACCGTCCTTGGTGGAGTGCTTTTCTTTCTTGGTGTATCTGGCCTCATCCTCATCTGGCAGAAAATGTACAGTAAGTAAACACTGTGTGGTGTCCCCCCCCCTTAATTTGAGAGAGCAGTTGAGATCTGATTGTGACATCAGGAAGTGCTCCCTAAATGGCTCTGTTTCAAAACGCTGTGTGGAACAGCCATCCTGGTGCATCCTTAGCTTCTGAAAACTCCATTCTGGAGTTGAGACTGACTGGATGTAAGCAGGTATGTAGCATAAATTGTCAGGCAGTTGATTTGTGGAGAGGTAAAGTTACTGGAGAGAGTTGGAGGGGAAAGAATAGCAGTGTGCTGCTGATCCCAGAGCTTTCCCTGGCTGTGAAACCTGCTGCTGCAAAAGCTTGCTGCCTTCTTGGTCGTAAACATTTGGGTTTCTGTCATGCTTGGCTTCCTTCCCAGCTAAAGATCCTACCTCAGGGGAGCCCTCCAGCTGCTGTGAGGCAAAGCGTGCAGCTGAATGAGCTGCTCTCTATCTTGAGGCTTCATCTACTTGTGGTGGAAGTTAGGAGAGGGCTGTTGTCTTGGCTGATGAGCAGAACTCATCAAGAGAATCAACCCCAGAATCTGCTGAGCAGAATGCTTCCAAAACTTGATTTGGGGATCTTAGGTTTGATGGTGCACGTGTGATCAGCTGTGTTTGCTTCAGAGGGAAAAGCTTTCTGTTGGGAACACAGATGCAAGTGTTGCTGGGTTGTTAATTTAGTGTGGTTTTAATTGCAGTGTACAGCCCTGTTCCTCACACCTTCTCTGATGAGTGGCTGGCAATGCAGACAAAGAGGATGTTGGACATGCGGATGAATCCCGTGGAGGGCATCTCTTCCCAGTGGGATTATGAGAAGAACGAGTGGAAGAAATGAAGCAACTCAGCTCTGCTTGAATATGAAATGATTCCATCACCCGTGCGTGACCTCGTTGCTTATGTACTGGAACAATCTCTCCACCTAAATAGATGAAAATAAACATCTGGTTAACTTGAAAGCTTTGTTTTATTGGCCTTCAGATGCGTTTGTTGTGATGGTCATTTGTAGTGCAGGTTGATGGGCAGGGTTGTTTTCTCCATATATCCTTGTAGTGATTGTTATATAGACAGCATTAATCAGTTAAGGGGAGTGAAATGCTTCTATTTCTTGTTGGGGGGGGATAAGTAAGATCAAAAGTAGTTTGGAAAGTGTGTTTTTTGTATTCATTGCCTTGAAATTGAAGGGGTGAAATTCCACCTAGCTCTGCAATGGGCATTGCTGAATGTTCAGGACAGTCATCCTACTGTCCTGGCACAGGAATAGCTCCTCAGGAGCTGCAATACCTTTATTTCTTAACTCCTCTTTAAGGCTGCATTTCTGGGATGCAGCCAGGAGTGGCAGTGCTCTGAACTACATGTAAGGTAAGCAGATCCCAGCTCCTGGGGAGGCTCGGTGTCCCATAACTCAGCACCAGAAATAGCTCTGCAAAAGGCAGCAGTGCTGAATCAAAGCACGGAGGGCACGTGGTGGAGATGAACGCTGCTTCCCTTGTCCTTGTAAAGGGGACTTGGCTCTGCATTCTTGTCCTCAACTGCTTTTCCCATCTCAACAGCATGGGCTGCAGAGCTCGCTGCAGTGTTTTGTGCAGGCTCAAGTGAGGAAGAGAGAGAAGTGCCCATTGTAGCTCAGGGTTTAGATGTAAGTCCAGGAGGTGTTTCTTGCCTTGCCTCTTGTAGCTGGGTGCTGTTCAGAGAGGGTGGCTGTGGTTGAGGGGAGGGAAAGAGAAGCCACGCTTTGTGGGAGCAGCCCAGATGTAAAGGCAGTGTTCTGAGCAAGCTCTGGTTCACAGCTCAGATGTGGCTTAAGGTTTCCAGAGCCTGAGCTACAAAGGCTGGCGCCTCTGTATTTGCTTTGCTCTGTCTGTAGCTGCCAAACTTTGTTTTCCCTTGGGTTATCCACTAATGCACGTCCTAGGCTTCCTCCAGGCAAATCCCAATCTTTGCTTTTAAAGCAGCCCTCCAAAGATCCAAACTACTAAAACAAGCTTTGCCTTCAATTAATTTGTTTCCTGCCTACAAGACTGTTGTGTTTTTTCCATCCATTTAGCTGCTGGAAAGCCTAGGGAGCCCCTGCTGCTGCTCATGAGGAGCTGGCCAGCCTTTCCCTTGCAATAAGGCAGCTTCTGGGAAGGCTTTAAGGTGAGGTGATTCAGCAGGCATGAAGCAACAAGCTCCCCTTCCTGTTTGCCTCCAGAGTGCAGCAAAGGGTGTTACAAAGGATGTTGGGGTGCCTGCAGCAGAGCTGGCTTCATTGTAGCAGTGAATCTGACAGCAAAACAGCGATGTCTGCAACCAACCCAGCAACAGCGCGGCAACAAACACAGCTTCAAGTGCCTTGAAGTGTTGTCCTGAGGCTGCTCTGCTGTTTTCCTTGTCAGCATTGGTTCAGTGCCTGTAGGAAACGTCTCAAATGGAGTGTGGGAAATGATCTGGTCTGCTGGGAGATGTCTGCTGGCTCAGGCTGGGCTCTCTGGCACTCGAGGCAACCTTGACTTCACCTCGCCATGGGTTGCAGATACATAGTGAAACCCCTGCGGTCACCATGTGAGCAGTTTGCTTTGTTGGTTTTGGTTTTTTTCCTCCCTTTCTTTCCTTGTGTCAGGCTAACAGCATCGATCTGGGAGGGGGCTGGCAAGCAGCAAGACAGATCTGCTTTGGAAATGGAGGTTTGGGAGCGTGTGTTGGAATGACAGAGCTGCTCCACAGCTCGTCTTACTGCAAGGAGGGGGAGGTGGACTCATTCCTGATGCTGCACATTGCCTGTGCCACTCTCTGTTTTTCTGGGGAAAGTGCCTTGTTTTGAATTCTGCTCTCATTCCCATGACTGGGAGAAACTGGTATGAATGAGAGAGATCCTGCTGAGCCCTGGGCTTGCAGCGGACAGCAGCATCCTAGCATGAAACCTGGCCCCAAAGCAGTGCAGAAAGGCAGTGAGGTGTCCCCACTCTCCATGCCACCTTGGTGAGGTGATGCCTTGATTTAGGAGAGCAATGCCCACTGTACCAGAGAGTCTGGAGTGGAAACCTGAGCCTCAGATCCTCATTTCATCCTGCCCAGCCCTGCAGCAGCTGCTTTCCTCTTTGCCTGATGACACAGCTGGTGAGTGAACTGAGTTTGCTGAGGCTCTGAGCGCCCCATGGGGAAAGCAGCTTTCACTGTTATCTGTGGGCTTTCTGAGTGTTTTCTTGCAGATAACCCTGGATACTGAGAGCCTGTCTACATCCTCACCTTGGGGAGAGAAAAGCCATGGGGAGTGGAATGAGCAAGGTACCGAGGGCAGGGCTGAGTGCCTAAGGGTGTTCAACAGGTGACAGCTGGCTTTTGGGTCTCGTCCTTTGGGTGGTACAGCCGTGGTGGCACAAACTCCCTGGACTGACTGGGGGTCCCAGGAGCTGTGCCCCTGTTTGTCCCCCATAGGGATGTGTCTGTGTAACGTAAACAGGCAGGGGGGCTGCGCTGGGGTTGGTGCTCAGAGCTGGCAGGAGGGATCGATGTCTGTTTGTATCCTTAAATAACCACTGGTGTATGCGTTATCCAGGTTAAAATTAGACACCAGGATAGCAGCAGAGCAGCACTTGGGATAAATTAGAGCCACTCTGAGTCTTTTTATTGCTCCTCTGGGTAATATAAAGCAATGATTTCTCTCTATCCATCCATCTCAGAGCACAGCTCTAGATGCAGGGGTTCTTTTGGGCTCAGGATAGGCTCCCCACGAGCATAACATCCTTCTCCATGATATCTACCCACCCAGGGTGAGGAATGCCCCGATGTGGTGCTGCTCACTGGGTTCGTTAAGCACAGAGCCCAGCAAACTCCATATGGATAAGCTGTGCATTCACCCTGCTGGCAGAGGAAACCTTTGGAACCATTTGCAAGACTGGTTGCTATAGAACAGCCAAACACAGCAGGAAGCTGCTCCAGGTTGGGCTCTGGTTGGTGGTTGCACGCTTGCACCCAAGTGCACAGCAGCCAGGCCCAATCCATCCATGTGCTCAGTTTTCCTGAGCTCTGTGCTCCTGGAGGGTTTTGGTTTGGCATCCAGCGCAGGCAGATTGTCTTGGGTGGAAACAACCTCTGCTGTTTGTTAATGAAGATGCTTTGTTCATTAGCTGCTTGGTTCATCTTTAGCTGGGGGTGTTTTCTCCGTGGGGCCTCAGCCTGTGAACGCAGATGATGCTCCTGAGTAATGCAGAAGCATCTGTGGGTTGAGGGGGGGTTTGGGAAGCAGAGGGGATGAGGTGTCAAACAGAACAGCTCTGCTTTTTGCCACCTTGCAGGTGGTCACAGGGCTCTACCTGGGGAACATCCGCGGTGAGTATGGGAAGCCTGCCTGGCAGAGGGGTCTTTTTATTTGGAGATGGCTGCAAAATGGGTTTCTCCATCCCAGGAGAGATCAAACCGATAGGGTTGGCCATCCTTATACCACCGGGTTTGGTCCCATGGGGGGGGAGGCGGTGGGATGGAGTTGGGGGTGGGATATCTGTAAGTGTTTGCTGGAGCTGCTCCTGCTTGCAGACTCAGAGGACAGGGACAGCCTGCGGAGGCATGGCGTGACACACATCCTTTCCGTGCACAACGGGGCCAAGCCGGTGCTGGAGGTGAGTGAGGGACACTGCGTTGGCATCCAGTGCTGGGGGTGGAGCAGCTGGGGGGCGCACGGAGTCTCCCGGGAGGGTTTGTATCTGATGGAGGCTTTGGCTGAGGGTGCCCGACCCATGGTGCTGCCCCTGGTAGGGGCCACGAGAGGGCAGCGGAGCCCCACGCACGGCACTGCCGGATCCGCGTCCACCCCCGGTGCTCAGGATGGGGCTTGGGGAGGGCTCTGCCTGCTCACCTCCACGTCGGGCAGCCCCTGAGGGGGACCTTCCATCCAGGACCGAATCACCTGAGATCACTCCCCGTCCTTCCAGTGTTGATCCCATTTTCTGGCGTTGGGTTTGGAAATGAGCATTAAGGAATGCTTTTAAATCCTGGAATCCTGAAAATAAGAAGTGAAGGAGGTGCGTAGGAGGCAGTTGTACCTTATTCCATGTCCCCAAAGTGGCGTAATGCTCTGTCACTACTGGGAGTGACAGCTGATGGCTTCTCCCCATCTCATAGATGCCTGCTGCTGTCCTATGGGAAGGGGAAAGGAGTTGAAGGAGGGAAACTGAGGTAGGAAGGAGCTGCTGGGTGTGCGTGTGCTGGGTGCATGCAGGGTGAGCAGCCCATGGGTCCGTGCATGGGAGGTGGTCTTCCCTGCCAAGACACTGAGCAATGAAACTGAGGAGAGAGAAGGAAGGAGGGTGCAGAAAATGGGGTCAAAGAACTGGTTTGTTCAGGGAAGGTGCAGCAGCTGGGGCATGGGGCATGGCCATATAGGCAGCAGCCTGCCTAGGCAGCTTGCAACCCGCAGCAGTGCACAGAGCCAGTGGAAAGGGGAACAGGAAAAACATGGTGGGTTGAGCAATGTGTCAATCACAGCCCCTGGCCGGGGACCGCAAACCCCAGCAGCATTCCCATGCCTGCAGCCCAGCTTCCCTCCCCCAAGTTGGGATGGAGGCACATGGTCCTGTGGGGAAGGGGAAGCCACCTGGGGTCCAGCTGAATGTATTGAGTCCTATCGTTGGCATGCTGGCTTTCCCAGCTTGGTGGGTTTCCTCGCTCATCCAGGTGCTGGGAAACTGCAATGCATCATAGCTCATCCCAGTTGGAAATCATTCCACAAGATCTTGCTTGTCCTTGTGTCCCAGCTCTGTTGTCCCATTGCAACTTGCTTGCCAGAGTGCTGTGGTTTGCTGGGTGTAGGAATGCACCAAGCAGCAGGTTGGAGAGGATCAGGATTGTATCACAGTACCCTTAAGGTTGATAAAGACCCCTCTAATCTCCAAGCCCATCCCATCATGCCTGCTGACCGTGTCCCTGTGTGCCAGGTCTTGAACTCTTCCAGGTATGGTGACTCCACCACCTCCATTAGAAACGCATCATATGGTCCCCATCCCACTGGGGGCTGTGGGATCAGTGTGGGATGGGGCCAGGGAAAGGCAATGGGATGGAGGGGAGATGCTTGGGGAAACCCCGTGTGCTTCTCCTAGCAACGTGGGTCTTTCCAATGTGGGAATGTCCCTGTGATGGCCATGCCCATCCAGCTCTCCTCCTTCCCTTTGACATTCACTTGGAATAATTGGCTTTTTCCAGCCTTTTCATGAAAGGAAGCAAGAGCAGCTTTGGGCAGCGGTGTTATAGGGAGATGAATGGAGATGGGGCAACCCCTGGTGTGCCGTGCTGGGCTGTGTCAGCTCTGTCTGGTGAGATTTCCACCCGATTTGCTAAGAAGAAAAAAAATGAGATGAAAAGGGTCTAATTTTAGCTCGGAACAGGGAGGATCGAGGAAGCGATGCTCTAAAGAAAGTGTAATCTGACCTACGCCAACATGTGGCAGGATGATTCCTTGTGTATTAAAGGAACCAGGAGGAAATAACTCATTGATGAGTGACTTCATGGCTGTGCGTCTGCACGCATCGTTCTGATGGGGGGGCAGGGAGATGGGGGGCAGGGAGATGGGGACACTGTGGTGCCCCTGGATCCTATTGAAACGGGGGCAAATGGTCTGAGCAACCCTGGCTCTGGCCAAGATGCTTCAGAAAATCACGTTTTAAAGAGGAGCTTTGCCCTTAGAGGCACCTAATGGAAGGGTTATGTAGAAGGAAAAGGGAAAATGGGAGATACCTTACTGCCACAACTTTCTCTTCATTTCAGGACATGACTTATCTCTGTATCTCGGCCTCTGATTCTTCCAGTCAAAACCTGTAAGTCATCTGCACCCCCTTTTGCCTCATAAAGTAGCATTTTGATCTCCTATCGACCGACAGCCACCAGATTTCTCAGAATGAATATTCACTCTGCACTGCCCAAACTTCGTGTCGTTGAGTCTGATGAAAGCTGTAGCTCATTTTAAGGCAGCTAATAGTGTTTGCATGGCCTAACATCTGTTTCTCTGTGTGTTTGCGGTCAGTAAATTCAATTTTCCATCAAATCTTGGAATTATTCTACCAGGCAGAGCTCTAAACTGGAGCAAGGCTCATTGGTGCAGACAGTGATTTGTATTGGTCTTTCAGCCTTGTTCCTTGGAAGGAGAAATTGGATATTTATCAAAATATTTTTTTTCCCCATACAGAACTTAAACACTGTCCATGTGAGGATGCTCTGGATGAGTTTGGGGAGAGGTGACGGTGGGGCTGATGGCTGCAGTGCTGATTGTAGCAGATGTAGCATCATCCCCTGCTTAGGGCAATAGGCACCCAAGAACCATTCATTATAACCAGAAAAATGGGTGGCTGCTGGGAATTCTTCTTGCCAATCCATCCCCATAAAGGTAAAAGCTTCCCATGCAATGGCTGTACCAAGCTCCATTGGTGGAGGTGCCACTTTTCAGCATCCCTGGGAGAAACTGTGCTCTGTGGGCATGATTCTGCTTGCTCATGCTCCTGCTGAGCGGAAAGAGAAGCTTTACAAGAAAGCCCTGCCTCAGCAAGAAGGAGGGTTTTTTCTGGTTTATTTCTTTTTTTTCTCTCCTCTTGTTTCTTTGCATTTGTGGTACGTCTACTGAAAGGGGAAAATAAAGAAGGACAAGGCTGGCTGCCGGAAGGAAGACTTATTCAAGGAACTATTTTTCTGCTTGCCACTTTAAGTCATGGATTTCACAATCCTGGTGAACTTGGTGTCCTATGGAGGAGATGTTTGTGACTCAGGGCCTCACTGGCTCTCAGTGTTACCTCTCCTATGGGATGCAACTGGGAGGTGCTCCCTCTAGCTGGCTGGGAAGGACCACAAGTGAGGATGGACAGACAGATCAGTGAGGGTCAATGGGAGGAGAGACAGCCACATTTTTCATGTCCAAGGCTCAGTGCTGTCGGTTCCAGCGAAGGGGTGTAGAAGAGGTGTGGCATTGGGAGAGCTTGGAGCCTTGGGGGCTGTGTAGGCAGTATAGAAAAGTCCCTGTTTCCCAACAGGAGATGCTCTGCTGGCAATGGATTGACATCTCCATCCAGGGCCAAGAGACAAAATATTCTTAGCATGACTACAGCTTCAAAGAATCCTCTGCACCTCCTTCTCTTCTTGGCTTTTGGGCAGCAGAACGCCTAAAACTCCCCACAGAATGGCTATTTCTGAATATGCCTTTGACTGGGGCACCTGAGCTCCATGCTTCCATAGAAGGGTGCAGAGCATCCCAGCTGGGCAGACAGAAGGGAGGGGAAATCTTGGGATGGCGCTTGTGCCCAGATTGGTCTCCTGGCCCTGGTGGGGTCTCAGGAGGATGCTGAGGGGAATATCCCTGTGGCAGCATGTGTCTGAGCTTCTGAGAAAGCAGGAAGGCTGTGTGGGGCTGGCCCAGCCTGGTCACGCGGAGCAGAGGAAGCTTGGGACCCAGCGGTGGGACCGGGGCTGTGTGAGGCCACCTCCTCTCCTCCTCCCCCTGAGGAATGCAGGGCTGTGCGCCAGGCTTTGGGTCAGTGAGTCCGTGGTCAGTCTAGGCACAGCCCCAAGTTACCCAGGAGCAGGTTTTCTGCTTCAAAACTCCCCCGTGGTGAGCAAGGCTGGGCAGCAATCATAGCGAATATTTGCTGAAGAGCCAAGCAAACAGCTCTCTGTGAGCTCTGGGAGATGCTTGCTGTCCAACAGCAATAAACAGGAGAGATGGATGGCGTTGGAGCACGTGTAACCCTCCTATGGACCTTGGGCTCATGAGTTTACGCTGAGTTGTTTTAGCCTTTTTTCCACCTCTGTGTCTTGATGCTTTCAGAAAGGTGAGTGCTGCAGCAAAGCACCATGCTGCATTGCAGCTGAGCAGCCAAAAAGCCTCACATCTCTGTCTGTTCTGCTGCAAAACTCGCTGGTTTGGTCTAATGCACTCCCTCTGCACTGGCAGTGGCTGGTTTCTAGCAGGAAGCTTTCAGGAATGTGTAAAGCAAAACGTCCCAGGCATGACTTGTCCTGCATCTTTCTCCCCATAGAGGGGACGGAGTGGCATTGTTTAGAAACGGATGGTTCAGGATGAGCTCTGACATAGGGATGAGTTGGGCACGGGGATTTTGCCCTCCCATTGGGCTGGTGGCCCACTCCATCTCATCACCTTGGGATGCAGGAAATTCTCCAGAAGGCTCTCCTGCTTTTCCTTCCTGGCTGATGCAGGCCAGTCCCTTCCTCTGGCAGGGGACCCATCTCTGTGCTGGCCCCAGGGAAATCCTGGGGATGATTCCAGGAGGCGGCAGTTCCTTCTGCTCTCACCTCACTGCCTCTCTCCCAAGCAGGATGCAGCACTTTAAGGAGAGCATCAAGTTCATCCACGAGTGCCGGCTCCGTGGGGGAGGCTGCCTTGTCCATTGGTAAGAGCCTCTGTTGGCAGCCTGTGGGCTTCCTCAGTGTGATGCTAAAAAGTGGGGAAAAATCATCCAAGGGACGCTTTGGGGAGGTGGGGGCTCCCAGGTGCTCAGAGGAGGTGTGGGGATGGGATCCCAACAAATGTGGTTGAGCAGTGGGGATGGGATCCCCATAAGTGTCCACAATATTGAGCATCAGTTGTGGTGGAGGAGATGAGGAGTGGCATCAGGTCAACAAGATCATCCATGCCCCGTAAACCTGAGCTCTAAACAGAGGGGACAGGCTAGAGGAGGGGACATAACCGTGTGACCTTCATGGGGACACTGATGGGACAGGGACCACTGTGGCTGGAAAGCCCCAGTGCTGCATCCCACAGCTTGTTGTCCCCTGCTGTGGGGTTCCCATGGTAACAATGCCTCATCCTGACAACTCACACCGTGCCAGCCTGGCCGGGGTGTCCCGCAGCACCACCATCGTGGTGGCATACCTGATGACAGTGACAGAGCTGGGCTGGGAGCGCTGCCTGGCCGCCACCAAGGCTGTGCGCTCCTATGCCAGCCCCAACTTCGGCTTCCAGCAGCAGCTGCAGGAGTACGAGCAGACCTTGCTGAAGGAGGTGGGTCCTGCATGCATCCATGCCAGTGACTGGCCTGCAGTGCCGAAGGAGGGGAGCTGTGCAGCTGAGGGCCCCTTTGGATGCATCTGCGGTGTTTGCAAATAAGCATGCCTGTTTTGCATGCAGCAATTTTGCAAACAGTGTGAGCCAGCTGTTTGCCCTTCGAGCATGCTATTTATTACCAGGGGCTTTTGCTTTTTGCATGCATGCATGCAAAAACTTAAAAAGTGCCTAGGCATAATGTGAGTGCGCTTAGAATAAAGCTGTTTTAAATCCCAGTGCTCTTGTTTTCTCGAGAGTTCAGCTTGCATCTTGGGGAGGGGATGCTCAAATGGCACTGAGCTGGCACCAGGGAGTGCATATGGGTGATGTGTGCACAACAGCCCTAAGCTTGGTCCCTGCAGCATCCCTCAAGGGAAATCCCCAATATATGGCATGTTGTCACCATGCAAGTAGCTGCTCCATGGGATTTCTCTGCATGTGACAGTGGCCAGAGTGTCAGTCCTGGCACAGATGCTGTCACTGGAGGGGTGTGGCCCTGCCAGGCTCTCACTGCTCCAAAGTTGGCTCCCACTGCCTGTTTTCTAGCAAGGAAACCAGCACAGCTCCCACCCCTGCAGTGGGGCTTCCTGTGTGCAGGCGGCTGCCGGGTGAGTCCCCTGTCTGGGGGAGTGGATACGGGAAATGCAGACATTCCCACTGGAAATCCCCTCTGCCCAGCTGACTTTCCCCAGCTGCAGGAGGGGGCTGCCACCAGCACTGCTCTCAGGCTTTCCCCTGGCCTTCACCTGATCCCAGGAGGCTGGAGCCTTATAGCCATCATGGGACATCGAGAGCAGGGCACAGGGATCTGCCATGCCCATAAACCAGGGATGTGAGATCAGCTCCCTTCCTCCCTCTGAAGCCGCGTCCATCCCAGTGCTGCCTGCATCCTTGCTGCTTGCTCCTTGGCACCCTGCAGGTTTTGCACCCTCCAACTCGTTGCAAGCATTTTGCTTTGCTGGGTGCTCTGAGTGCTGCTCCTTGCTTGCTGGCTTCCCATTTCTGGGTGTCAGCAGCGCACAGCAGTACTGCTGCTCCCTCCCCATGCAGCGTGGCCGTGCCCCAGCAGTGTCGGGAATGACTTCCACAGGGCTGGTTCCAGCTCTCTGCTGGGTGCCAGCTGGCCCTGGGACAGGAGCAGAGTGGGTGAGCACAGCACTCTGCAAACAGGAGCTGACCTGCCTGGGGTCAGGGAGTGCAGCCCTTCCCTGCATTGGAGAAAGCGTGGGGACGCTTTGCGTATGGTTACGTGGCTGTAAGGAACAACAGCAGCTTCTTGGCAGGGCAAAGTAAATAAGTTGAATTAAATAAAGTCAATAGAGCTGTTGGGGCTGCTGCCAGCTCTCTGGTTCCTGGGAGCAACCAGCAAGGCTGCTCTCTGTCTTGGTGATGCAGCTAACGCTTGGTCTGCGTGCAATGCTGCATCTCTTACTGCGTGGCATGCAAGCTCCTGCAAAATGGGGCTGCTGCTGTACCTATGCTGTGCTTGGCATGCCTGGGGTTAGTTCAGGGCTTTGCACTGCGTCCACCTACTGACTGTGGCACCCTCTGTGGCTTTGCTTTGGCAGTACCGTGCCTGGATCCGTCACGATTATGGCAGGAACCCCTTCCAGGATCAGGAGGAGCTGCAGCGTTTGTTGGCCCAGCAGGAGCAAAGTGGAAGCAGGGATGGCTCCTGCACCTCTCCCCCGGCACCCAACCACCCACTGCCCAGCAGCAGGAGCCCGTGGATGGACAGATAGGCAGCAGCTGCTCCCAGAGGGACACTATCTTTGTGCCTTGCAAAACGTGACAGCCGCCGTGCCCAGTGCCCATGGGGTGCAGCTGCAGTGGGATGCAGTGGGGTAAAGGCTGGGGCAGGATCCCACAGCTGCAGTTATGCAGGGGCTGCTCTGCTGCTGCTTCTCATGCACCAGCCCCGCCGTATGGGAAAAATCAATTGTTACTGAGAAACAGAGAGGCAGAGCCTCACTCTGCATTAAAGCCCTTCTCAGGGTCACCACGAGAGGATCCAATCCTTTATTCAAGTATTTCTAGGAAGTCCCTTAGTGGAAATTTCTGGGTATTGGAGCCTGTGAGTGGGACAAAGCTGGTGCTGAGCTGCCAAGGAACAGGGGATTGATCAAAACCATGGGGATGGCTGCAGGGATGGAGGGATGGGCTGCGTTATTCTATATAGAAGTGCCGCAGTATCTGGGAAAGCACCCTGGGCAATCAGTGGGGAAAAGGCCAATAAGTGCTGATGATCAAGGGAGCTGGAGGGAAGTTGAGCAAACCTTGTAGACATTGCATCGAATGCCTCGCTTATCATTTTAGGAAGCAGAAAAATGGAACTCGTGCACAGGAAAAAGAGAAGAAAGTTGGTTTCTGGTGTCAATAGGAAGTCATCGCAGATCTGTGATAAGCAGAGATTAGATGTGCAGTAGGTGCGATAACCTCATGCTGCCACTTCAGCACCCATCCCACGGTCTGCCCTGCCTTGTGGGCATCCCAAGACTGCAGTGTTTCCCCTAACTCACCCCAGCTTGTGGGAACCACAGGGGATGCCCCGAGTGATTACAGCATCACGGCAGCATCTGCTGCCCAAAGAGCACCTCCTACCCCCACATAGGTGCCAGGCAGCTGTATTCCCACACGACTGCACGTTCTGTCCTCTCCAGCCCTGCTCCGTGTTTTGCCAACTCCCACATCACCCGTGCAGGGGGTCAGCAGTGCAGTCCCCCCCCCCCTCCTGCTACAAGTGACCCTCATCCCATCAGGATGTGCTTGGCTCTCCCCACATCTCACGCAGGCTCTCCCAGCAGCCATTTGTCACGCATCGGAGTGAAGGCTTTGCACCGTGGCTCTTTATTTTTATGACACCTGCAGCCCATCGCATTGCCACGGGATGCCCGGGTGACCGCCTCGTGCCATCTGCGGGCAAGGAAAACAAGCCAAGCACCCTGGGTTTGGCCGAGCACCACCAGGAGCAGCGTGGGGATGAAGAAATAGAGGAAATGGGGTGGAATGGGCCGTAGGAGGACGGACGGACGTTGGACACACGGACACCTCCCGCCTCCGCGCCACCACGCTGATTTCCCGGAAAGGCGCGGGCTGCGGAGAAAGCCGCGCAAGCCGAGCGCGCGCGCGCCCCCCATTGGCGCGACCCCTCATTGGGCAGCCCGAGAAGGGGGCGGGAAGAGGAGGAGGGAGAGGGCTGCCATTGGCTGAACGGCGCTGGGGGCGGGGCGACGTGGGGAGCGGCCTGCGGGGCACTATAAGGGTGCGGGCGCGGGCGCGCGTTGGGGTGCGGAGCGGGGAGTGCGGAAGGTAATTGGTGCGGTGTGTGCGGGAGGGGGGGGGGGGGAGGGAGGGATGTCGGGGGTGAGGGCTGTGGTGCGGTGTTTGGCTGGAGGGTTTTAGGGTCGCGGTGGTTTTAGGGTCGTTGGGTGCTGGAGCAGGGTACGTAGGGTGAGGGTGGTGCAGGGGCAAGGCTGTAAGGTGCTGGTCTGTATTGGGTGCTGGGAGCGAGCAGGGTGCGGGTTTGGGGTGGGGGTTTTAGGATTGGTGGGGGTGCGGGAGGTGGGTTTGGGGGTGCTGGGATGGAGGCTTCGGAGTGCTGGGGGATGTGACTTCAAAATGTGGAGGTTGTAGGGTGCTGGACAAGCAGGGTCGTGGGGGTGGATGGAGGGGAGCTGTGGGCTCTTGGGATGAAGTTTTAGGGTGCTGTGTGTGCATTGTAGGGCAGGCAGGGTGCTGGGTTGTAAGAGATAGGGGTTGTAGGGTGGCTTCTAGGGAGCTGGGTGTGCAGGAAATAGGGCTGCACGGTGCTGGGATTGCATCAGGAAGGATCTTTTGGGTGCTGGGATGTGAAGTTTTAAGGTAATGCGAACAAGCTTATGAGAAGATGGGCTGAGTTGGCTTTCTCGTGGCTGCTCCGCTAAGCCATTTTTGCTAAAAATGTGCTGAGACCAGAAATGAGGTGACCTCAACCCCCCCCTCCCCAGTAGGGCCCTGGTCCTGTCCTGGAGAGGATGTGGTTGCATGGCCCTGTTCCCTGCGGTGACCCTGCTGCTCCCTGCGCTGCTCCTTGCTGCAAGAGGCTTCACCCTCTTTTATTTCTTTGCTGCCCCCCCCCCCCCCCATTGCTGTAATATTGGGAGCTGTCTGCCTCTACAGTATCACTTCTTTAGGTCACAGCATAGTTCCTACGGGGCTGATCCCAAAAAGAGGAGTTTGCAAGTCAGCCTGTTGCTGTGACAGAGCTTTCCTCAGCAGCAAGAGGATAAAGGTGCCTTCCAGCAGGGCTCCAGGCAGGCTGCAGATAGGCTAAAAGTGCTTTCGTCATATTCAGTAAACGGGGTGTGGGCACCAGTCCAGTGCCTGCCCACATGGCTGGGGTGGAGCGATGCGGGACAGCTGTAGAATCGCTGCTGTGGCTTTTCCCATGTAAAAAAAAAGGGAGGTTTGGTGCATGGAGGGGCACGTGGCAGCTGCTGCTGTTTGCAGGCAGTGTGTTGCCAACGCTGCACGTGATAAAGTGGAGCAGAGAGCGATTGCTTGCGTCTAAAATCGCTTTATTTTTCTACTTGGAGACATCACTGCAATCCGCTGGCTCTCCAGTCAGGTGCCCTGAAAGTGAAACACAGCCGTTAGAATGCATTAAGATGTCTCTGTAGACCCAGCTGCTGCTAGTGGGGGGCAGAGGGGTGTCGAGATAGATAGACAGACAGACTGACAGCTCCCACTTCTGCCTAGGATGTGCGACCGCAACGGTGGGAGGCGGCTGCGGCAGTGGCTGATTGAGCAGATTGACAGCGAGCAGTACCCAGGGCTCATCTGGGAGAATGAGGAGAAAACCATGTTCCGCATCCCGTGGAAGCATGCAGGGAAACAGGATTACAACCAGGAGGTGGACGCTTCGATTTTCAAGGTAGGGTGAGATGGTTTGTCCCTGTTACCGATGGCTTCGGGGCTGTCAAGGTGAGGTGGTCCGTCCCCGCTGTCAGTGGTTTCTGGGTTGTTTGGATCTCAGCTGGTGGGAGATGTCCTTGCTGTCGGCAGGATCTGCAGCTTGCAGCACCTGTAGGATCCCTGTTAGGATCATCTGGGGATGGCTTTTCCTTTTTGCTGTGTTGGTGCCAGGTTTGGGTTTGTTCCTGGCATGTTGGTGGGGAGTCAGGAGCGGCTGCTGCCCCTTCTTCACCTCCTCTTTATCTAGTGAGGATGTATCAAGCTGTAGCCCAATATGTAGTATGATTTGGCCTGATGTGCTCTGTGACCTGCCCTAAGCTTCCTATTGGGCACTGTCTGATAAAGAGTGCATTAACCAAAAAAAAGAAAGGGAAGGAAGGAAGTGTCAGCTTTTCTCAGAGAGGAGGGACTTTACTTTTTAGATCTAATAGGAAAATTCTGTCCTGAACCAAAAAGTCAGGAATTCCCTTCCTTCTGCTCTATTCCCATACTTTGCTCTATCCATGGTGACTGATGGCTTTCGGGGCACCGACCAGAGCAATGGGTTGTAGAGATGGCTTTATATAAATATATTCATATCTGTATTAAAATCACAGAATTGTAAGGGTTGGAAGGGACCTCCATTGATCATAGAGTCCAAAATATACTGTCCCACCTCCCCATGAAAGCACAAATGACGTTTTGATATTAAAGAATCCAGCTGTCAGTTACTGGTCTAAAGCTGGGAAGATGAGGTGTATTTTAGTATGGGTTTGGGTGTTTCTGGATCAGGACAAGTATCATTGCTTGGATGTGCATCCTTGCATCAGTCTGTGCTAAAGTGAAGTTGCACACTGCTGTTTTGGCTCTGGTTTGTGCTGTGAAGGGCTTGAAACCAACTCCAGCTCCCTTAGCTTGGTGTGATGTGGCAGAGCTGGGCTGTGTGGTAATACCTGAACTTTTGGGGACTTCTGTGAGGTGTCCCATTTCTGAGCACCAGCGTGCCCAACATGTGCTGCTCATCTGCTCTTTGGGCCAAAGGGATTTGCAGAGCTTGCATGGAAGGTGATTTCCTTTTTGTTTTGCTGTAGGCTTGGGCTGTTTTCAAAGGCAAATTCAAAGAAGGTGACAAAGCAGAGCCAGCCACCTGGAAGACACGGCTGCGCTGTGCCTTGAACAAGAGCCCTGACTTTGAGGAGGTGACAGACAGGTCCCAGCTGGACATCTCTGAGCCCTACAAGGTGTACAGGATCGTGCCAGAGGAGGAGCAGAAATGTGAGTGCCCCATTGAAGCGCATGGGTGCTGGGTGCTGCTGATCTACACCCAGCAGTGTGGGGCTGGCCCCGTGGCTTGGGGACATGTCCTGCGTCACTGCAGTGCTGGGAGGTGGGCAAGGAGCTGCTGGGCTGTTAGGAGCAATAATGTTTTTATCTTTCCTCCATGCTTAACTGCTGCTTGGGAAATAAAGATGCACCAACCTCAATCCTTCCCCTGCTTTGGGGTTGCTTGAACCCTCCCAGCCCTTTGTCCTCCTGACACCCAGCCTGGCAGGGAGTTGCAGTAAATCCTTTCCCTCTTGCTATCTCTTATTAGAGGAACAGCAGCTCACCAGAGAGCAGTCACTGCAGTATTGGGTACGACACAGGTTGCAATATGCATCTCTCTGCTGTTGTTCCGGTGTGTGCTCTTCCTTTTTCCTTTCCTTGCTTAGAGAAAAGGAGGAGAGGGGGGTAGAAAACAAGAAATATCATGCAGATCTGTCTGTAGCATCTTGTCTCCTTCTGTGTGTTCACATGGGGCCCTGTATGCAAATGGCACTGCAGGTTCCCACCGGCAGCACGGCTCATGGAAAAAAGAGAAGCAGCACCAGTCTCTGGGGTGCTCAGAAAAACCCCTCTCCTGTGCTCTATCCCCAAGCTGTATTCAGTTTGCCCTACTGCTCATCACCATGTACCAGTGCCATTTATTGCAGGCTGGTTTCTGGCCCCAAATTTTTTTTTTTTTTTTTTTTTGGGGGGGGGGAAGAGGAACGCGGGGTTGCTGTGGTTCTCAGTTTCATAACTTTCGTGGGGTTTCTGAAATCTGGTGGCGAGGCCACGGCTGCCCTGCTGCATCATCCTCACTGCTCTCTGCAGGCAAAATCGGCGTTGGGAACGGGAGCAGCCTGGCTGATGTTGGAGACATGGACTGCAGCCCTTCTGCCATCGATGACCTGATGAAAGAGGTGAGCCCTCTTCCGTGGACACAGACCTGACGAGGCAAAGTCCGGTTGCCTGGTTGTGTTTAAAGCTACATCTGCCTCATGAAGAGCACGGTGCTTTTGCAGCTGCACTGGCTGTGGTTGTTCATCTGAGCAAGCTTGAGGTCTCGGTGTGGTTACTCGTGGCTGGAGCATGCTTCGTTTGCATTTGTGTTTGGTGGGGGCTGCAGGCTTCTTGTGCCTCTGTTCCCCTTCTTGGTTGCACAGTGTGGGGCCTGTTCTGCTCCATGCCTCTTGAGAGGTTATCTTGGTGCATAGCCTGGGGAATCCCAAACTTGCTCTTTCTAACCAAAAAAGCATTCATCAGCCTTCTGGCATCCCTTTTGCCTTCTTGCTTTGCCTCTTAAGCCCCTCTTCAGGCCCTAGCCAGCTTTCTGCCCCTGGCTGATCTAATGGGTATCCCTTCCTGCTCCAGCCTCCTTGTGTGGATGAATACCTGGGGATCATCAAGAGAAGCCCCTCACCCCCACAGGAGACCTGCAGAAACCCCCCAATACCAGACTGGTGGATGCAGCAGCCCAGCCCCTGTGAGTAGTGTGTGGGGTGTTCTATGGGACCCAGCCGTTCATCCAAGGGCAGTGCCTGTGATGATGGATGGTGTAGGCTCCCTCTGGGCAGTGCTTGTATTCTACCTTCCCTAGTGCTTAAAGTCAGCATTTTGGTGGATATAGAGCACCCCACAGTGCAGGGTTCATTGCACAATTCTTATAATTACCCTGGGCATGTTTGCTGGTGACTCCCATCCAGGAGGTGGGGAAGCCTGATGTGCTTGCTGAGTGGGAAAAGCTTTGGGATGGTGGGAGGGTGGGATTATAGGCTTTGGGAAAGGGAAAGTGTGCTGGAGCTGGGCACATCTCTACTCTCTCTGCCCACAGCTTTGCCC